ATACATTTTTAATTATTATTATTATTATATTATTATTATTATTAATTATTATTATTACATTATAGTATATTATTATTATATTTTTATTATAGTATTATTATTATTATTATTATTATTAATTATTATTAATTATTATTATTTATTATTAATTATTATTATTATTATATTATTTATTATTATTATTATATTATTATTATTATTATTATTATTATTATTATTTTATTATTATTATTATTATTATTATTATTATATTATTATTATTATTATTAAATATTTATTATTATTATTATTATTATTATTATTATGATTATTATATATATTATTTTATTATTATTTTATTTTATTATTATATATATTATTATTATTATTATTATTATTGTTATTATTATTGCATTATTTATAATATATTATATTATTATTAAGTATTATTTATTATTATAGTTTATTATTATGATATTATTTATTATTATTATATTATTATTATTATTATTAATTAGTTATTATTATTTATTTAATTATATATTATTATTATTACTAGATCGTTATATATTATATATATTATTATTATTATTATATTATTATATTATTATTATTATTTATTATTATTATTATTATTATATTATTATTATTATTATTATTATCATTATTATTATCATCATTCAGTCATCATCATCATTATTCATAAAGTACATAAAGTACTTAAGACACATACATACAAAATAATTTATAAAACTACTACATTTTCTTTTCCATTGATGTTTTCATTGATAGTCTTTCATCAATATATTCCAAGAAATTTATGGCTTTGAATTTATTTTATAGTTTAATTTTTTACCTCATCATGAGTATAGTAATTTGAGATCTTAGATATAATAAATTAAAGTACTTTACATTTGTTTTTCAGTATTTAAGACGAAATTATTCATATCAAAGTAGCAAAATATATATTCCATTTTGTCATTTTTCATATAGTGTAATTAAGACTTTGGCATTTCTAACAACTGAGGTGTCATCTGTGTATGATATTAATTTATGATCTCTAGTGTTGGAGAAAATCATTACTGTAGTAGAAAACATCGAGGACCAAGTACTGACTTTATTTAATCAACTGAATATTCAGATTCTCAAAAAATGCCTATACCTTGCTTATGATTTATTAGGTATGATTGGATGAGTTTATTTATGCTTTCTCTCAGCCCCAAACACTCCATGGTTTGAAGAAGTAAGTTGTGAGGCACTGAATCAAAAGCCTTGATAGATCTATAAAAAATACTTACTGTATGTAGATTATTTTCATGCTGATAAAATACTTCATTATAAAATCATATGTTGTTGTGACATGCCTTTTTTGAATCCATGTTGATATTTTACAAAAACATTGTTATATTCCATAAAATTGTAAATTTGTTTTGATATAAGTTTTTCATACAATTTAGCAAAAATCAATGTGAGCGTGATAGGTGAATAATTATTTATATCAATTACATTTCCTTTTTATAAAGGGGTCTTGCTATACAAATTTGTAGAATATCTGGGGATATACCATTACTTAGCGAGCTATTTATCGGATGCTCTAGTACTTCTAGTAAACCATATTTGATTTTCTTAAGTATTAAAGAAGATACTTCATCATACCCAGAGGATTTGCAACAAATAAAAATGCAAATTAATTGATTGATCTATGTAGTTTCAGTAACCCTTACGAATATAGTATTTGTAATTATAGTTTTTGGAGTCTGTTCTGAAGATTGATTTTTAACATGCCCTTCAATTATAAAAAAAATATTAAAGGCAAAACTAACTTCCTCTGCCTCACTTATTATTTCAACTTTTTGAAACAGTTGTATGTTTTGATGTTTGTTTTCTAATCGTCTATTTTTATTTACAATATACCACATCATTTTATATTTATTTGTTATATTAATTAGCTTCTTATTGAGCAAGTAATTTTTAAAATATGTTATTTCATTTTGGTAAAGTTTTTTATAGTTTGTTTTATTTTAAAGCATTCTAATTTAGTATTATTATAAAATGTATAATATAATTTCATATTTTCTCTAAGTTTAATCACTTCCTTAGGGAGTTTATTTCTATAATACACCTTAATTTTATTCATCTTTTTCCTAGTTACTGGCCATAAAGTATTTAGATTATTATTAAATATTTGAATAAATAATTGCCATTTTTTATTAGAATTTTGTTCAGAATATACTTCTGCCCATTTTTCATTTTGGATTATTTCTTTTAATTGACACAATTTAGATTCTCTAGTATCTCTTACATTGCAGAATTTCGGTTTCTTAGTTATGTAATTGAAATTCTGAATTTTTATGATCTGTCCAGCGTGATCAGATAAGTGAAAATTTTCATTATGCCCTGAATACTGATTTTCATTGATGCTAGTTACGATCTGATCTATGATGGTGAGTACTGGAATGATTAGTGATTCTAATGTTCCTAAGTACTTTATCACATAGGTTATTAGTTCTTTAAGAATTTAATTCTCCTTATCGATATTTATATCCCCTTACAGCATGATTTTACCCTTGTTGTTACCGAGTTTCACTAGTAATTCTTTAAGTTTGACAATGAAATTATTAATATCATATCCTACATAAATTATTAATATCATATCCCACATATGTGTAGTGTGTATGATTGTATATATAGTGTATGATTTTAACAAATTTTTGTATTCTTAGGGCTCAAGGTTGTGCAGCTGTTGAGATAAAATATCTGTGTAATAACTAATACAAATAAGAATAGGCATAGGTTTGTCTTTGAGAAACGTACTCCAGGTGAAAGGATGGAATTTCTTTTGCAGACAAAGCCATGCAGCTCAATCAAGGAAAGTTCCGTCAGAATGGACGCTGTGGCTATGTGCTGAGGCCAGAGTGTATGTTTAATGAGAACTTTGATCCATATGATCCAAAAACTCTGACTGGAGTTGATAAATTGACCATTAGTCTTCGAGTTATTGGTGCCCGACACTTGAGTCGCACAGGCCGTGGCAGAGGCATTGTCTCTCCCTTCGTCGAAGTGGAGCTTGTTGGAGCAGAGTTTGATTCTGGATTTAAGCTTATTACTAATTCGATATGTAAGTATTCTTGTATAACTTACCTGGCTAGCCCTGGCACCAATTTCCTAATCTGCCTGTTCTGTTGCTAGGGTGACATGAGAAGACAAGAGGTGTAAGACACCCTTAAATGTTACAAATTGATTTCTGATGCAAAGAACCTATATGTGAACCATGAATGAGTTGGAACATAGCTAGGCAGAGAGGTGATGCACCGAATAGATAGAAGTGGGCAATCAGGACAGAAATAGATACAATTCATGTCTAATCAACTGTGAAAATTGAATACTGGAGCAGTTGAGTTTGCTGTTAACAGATTAAAATATATCTTCAATAAAAATTGTAAATTACACTATGCAGTGCGACGTCGAATTTTTGAACATCAATCATTCAAACTGTCAAATATCCAAA